TGTCTACACTACCTATGAAAGTACTTCTTCCATAAAGAAATATAAAAGCGTTTAGATCACTACTTTAGTCTACACAAAAAAAAATCGCTACATTAGTGATCTAAACACTTATATTTCCTTACAGAGGGAGTATATTGTTATTAAATTTTTCTTGAATATGTTATATTTGTATTTGTGCATGTACAAATTTTTTTAAAATTCTTTTGTGATGTGGAAATATGTTTCTTAAAAAAGTACTGCAATAAGCTTGTCCTCATTTCACAATTTTCGATGTCTTTCTTGTTTTTTTAGGTGTTGGGAAGAATATTTTGTGAGGTGGCTAAGGTTAATTTGGACATCAGTTCTATTGAGTTAGCTTAAGAAATAAAACTTGTGACTTGTTCCTTGTAAAAGAAGGCAGTGAAATCTTGCTGTCTCGCCGATAGTGCGAGTCATCTACTCCCTCCGGTCCTTTTTAGTCTGCATATAAGTATTGTCTGAAGTCAAAGTATCTCTACTTTGACTAAACTTATAGAAAGAACTATCAATATTCCCAATGCCAAATCAATATTGTTAGATTCATTATGAAATATAGTTTCATAGTATATATACTTGGTAATGTAGTTGATATTTTTTAATATAAATTTGTTCAAACTTTGTAAAGTTTGACTTGACACAAATCTAATACACAGAGTAAAATGAACCAGATGCAGTATAACGGAATGGCATGAGGAAGCAACATAATCCTTTTTGTAGTAGCTGCAGCTGCAATCATTTTTTATGATAAAAAAATGATTGTAGCAGCAACAACTACAAAAAGGATCCATCGCAAAAAAAATACAAAAAGGATTATGTTTGCTTTTTTTTTACCTGAGGATTATGCTGCTTCCTCATGCCATTCCTGCAATCATAGACATGCAGCCTAATATGATACTTCCATCGATCGACAAGCATTTCAAATTAATCACGAATGGCATAATAACTGTTGATATGGCTATTTTGGCCGAAAAAAAGCTAGCAGAATCATTGTCCGGCTTCGGATTGCCACAATTTATGAAGGGTGTACCAAATCAAGCCCGTGAGCCTCCATTTTAGAGCTCGTCGGGAATTGGTTTGGAGGGCGTGCCACTTGTTCACGATCATTTCTGTCATGTTTCCTACTAGAGTGTGGTTTTCTGTAGCTTAGACTACATGGTACTCCTTATCTTTGCCATCCATTTCTGCATTGCGATCCGTGCAGACGCATTTGTCTTTTTTTTCTCAAACGACACAACAAATAAACTTCAAATTTTGTAGAACAACAACAATATTTTTTCATCTGGGAAAAAACTTTCAGATCTTCATTTTTTATATTGTTTCATTTTAGAGAAACAAAAAAGAGAAATCTGCAAAGTTTGAAGTTCATATATGGTTTCATTTTAGAGAAACAAAAAAAGAGAAATCTGCTTGTTGTAAGTTAGTTGGAGAGTACGGATCTCAAAGCAAGGCTGGAGGGTTGAGGATAAGAGGTTCCATGTAGCCTGAGCTACAAAGAAACATTGTGTTCCTACTATCTGCAGATATAAAAAGGGCATCGCCATCGAAAATTCGCTGCTGAGCCCGTGCTCAAATGAGCCCGAAATCCACACCGCTCGCACCGCCCCTCGCACCAGGGTGGCGCGGACGACCTTGATCTCCTTCACCACTGGCGCCCGCCACGTCGCCCGTCCGCGCAGGTGCGGGCGGTGTGGCCCTGGACGGGCCGATCGTTGTGATCTTCTTCTTCTTCGGCGCCATGGCGATGAAGAGACTACTGTACTAACTAACAGACCAGATTCTCACAACTAATGCCCCCCTACCTGGCATGCCAAAGATGTCGGGGAAACCGAACACCTATGGGGTCACAAAGATCCCTTCTATGTTCGGCGGGGGATTAGCTTCACGAAGAGCAGGTCGAGCCGTTAGCACACAAGGATTTTTACCCAGGTTCGGGCCGCAAAGATGCGTAATACCCTAGTCCTGCTCATCTGGATATATGTGTTCTTGAGCTTTTGAACTAGCTACGGTGCGTGCCTTGTCCAAAAGTCCGAATCGTCTCTCTGTATGCCTTGGGCCTCCTTTTATATGCAAAGGGGTTACCACAGTGGCACACAGGAGGTGGCAAGCTACAGTGATCGAGCTTATCACTCGGTCAACGTAGGACAAACGCATTTAATGCGCTGCCTACGTGTCCTCTTGCTTTATCGGGGATGGCAACCGAAGGCATCCCGTCTTTCGCCGCTCCTCCTTGCTTCGACACGCGTCTAGGCTGACAAGGCGTGCAGTGCCACGCTGGCTAACTAGCTGCTGCGTTGGCACAATGGTAAAGCTTCCACAAAGATCTGCATGCCGCCACGCAGGCGCCTGCTTAGCTGGCACGCCTATCGTCGCATTGGAGTGGTGGTGAGGTGGCGAAACCTTGTCGGCGTGGGCCTGGCCGCGGCCCAGTGATCGTCCCCGGCAAGGCTTGCCGGGGGCCTTGGAGTCGTCCGGCAAGGTCCTTGCCGGGGGTCTTTATCTTCTGGTCCCACGTGGATCTGTGGGATGTCAATCTTTACGAGGATCTGTATGCTACCAGACATGTACCCTCCAGATCTTGGTCTTTAACATTGTCGATGGTGTCAGAGCTCTCAGCCCCAAGGGTGATGGACTTGCTGGTGCTGTGCAGGTCGCCCCGGCAAGACCCTTGCCGGGGGTGGTCCAGCTCGCTCTCTGCCCCTTGTTCTTCGAGTATCTGCCTTGGTAGTCTTTTGGTTTTGTCTTCCTCTACCCCGCTAAGCCCTGCTGCAGGTGTAGTTGTGACTGCCCGTGCACTAGTAAGGATACAGAAGTAGAAGTACCCGTACAAAATTTTGTACACCGACACTCAGGTATACATTATCTATCTGCATTATTACATTACTCATCATATTCAGTTGCTGTCTTATTTGCTCAATCTTTACCGGCAGTTCTTTCAGATTAGTAACTTCTACAAAGAGCTCGGATATGATGGCATTGATGACTTCCATCTCCTAAAATGGAACCAATCTTCGTCACAGCAATAAGTACAGCCTCGGCCATTTGAGCTGTTCAGCAAAGAGAGTGCATGTTACATGATTGAGTAGAAAATTCATCTAGAATGAACTGAATTAGCTCATGCATGAATAAACAGTAGTTTATACGCCTTAGCCCATGTCATTCCACTTTTTTTCTCAACTAAATTTATCGATTTATAGCATATCTAAAATCAAACAATGGTCTATCATGTGTGAAGATACCAGGTATCATCGCATCAGAGAATCCCTTTGTCCACTGAAATCTCCCCATGGATCAGAGTTAACGGCACTAGTAATGGATGGAATTCCTAACTGAACTTCACACGGCAGAATTTGCAAAAGATACGAGGATTTTGGCTCATATTCTAGAATAGAAATACCCAATCGAAGAGATAAATTGCATCACAAACAATGTTCAGTCAAAGTCATTCTCTGTTTTCAAAACTAAGGCGGAAGCACCTAGCCTAATTCAAGAAATGAATTAATGAATAAGTAGAGAACGTGGATGATAGGTGGCACAAAGAATAGAACAGAAGAAACCTACTAAGCTGCTGGATGGAATATCCGATTGTCATCTCTTTTGACTGTCATCAGGACTACAGAAAGATTTCCTTTGCAGGAAGTTTGGCAA